TATCACGTTATGGGGACCAAATGTCCCCACAAGGATAGTAATACTAGTAAATTTTGACCTTGTGGGGACATTTTTGAGGTCCCCATGAGGAAACAAGCTTATAAATCATACAGAATGAGTTTTTTTGAGAAAGTAAAAATGCACAAAGTTTCCTGTAAGGGGTAGGTTTAGGGGTAGGGTTGGTGTAGGGCAATAACACATACAGTTTGTACAGTCTAAAAACCATTACGGCTATGGAATGTCCCCATAAAACATGGAAACACAACATGTGTGTGTGTGTGTGTGTGTGTGTGTGTGTTCTGCGCTGTGAGGGCGGAGCATGAGCTGCATGAAGCGCCTCTGTCACGAGACTCGGTCACATGACAGGCTTCGCCGCACACTCGCGGTGTGTCTGAGGTTGAGCCGGCGGTTGTTGTTGAAGATGTCGGAGGAGAGGGATGCTGCAGCGCTGTCGGGCTCCGCGCAGACGGAGGGTGAGGAGGATCTGTTCGTCAGCGCGATGGAGGTGAGACAAAGCTGCGCGCTACGGTCCCCTTCACCGACCACCGCAGCGGATCGACACGCCCTTCTGCTCACACTCTCTAATCACAAATCAATATTCATAATCAGCCAAACATCAGCGGCGTATTTCCACCTGATTCTGACAGATTTCATTGAATTACGAGAGTAGAGATGCGAGCGCGCATGCGCAGCAGGGCTCTCCGCACATCAACACTGCGTCGCGTCAGCGCAGACATCATCTGTTTACATTAGATTCATTTTCAGCAATTGATAACTAAAATGATAACGCGAGGAAGCCAAAGTTAGAGTAAAACTCATGAGAATGGCTATAAACCTAATATAGCTTCTCACCAACGAAAGAAGAGTTAATTTACAAAAACAGATAACTGCGTTTTTAAAAATGTTTTAATTGTGCATTCCAATTAATCTCAATCACACTGCAGTTGGGTTATTTTGATTAAGTAAAATTAACAAATACAGCTAACTAACACAATAAAAACATGATAACATAATAAAAAACATGATTTTTGAAAATAAAAAACTGAGTTATCTGTTTTTGCAAATATACTCTTAAAATAATTTTAGCGTTATTTTGACATTTGCCCAAGTATGTCATATGTTTTTATTATAAAGAAATACAGCATTATGGTTTTGGTGTGGAACACCAATGTTTTGTTTAAATATGCAAATAAGGCATTATCTCATTAAATATGCATCAATTTGAATGCATGTCCAGCACATACATCTGAAGATTGGATGAATAACCCAAATTCATAATTCACTTAAATGTGTTTTGGATGATTTCTTTCCACTAAACTGAAAGAAGAGACGTGATATTGAAGCAAAATAGAGCCAGCACATGCTTTTGTGAAATGAACTCATATCTGCTGATGTGATGCTGGGCTCTTTTACAGCCCATCAGCGGACTCTGAGACCCTTCGCACTATTCCCTGTGCTTCTGGTCATGAGTCTGTCCTGTGAGAGAAACTGTGTGAACATTAACTTTAATGAGCTGCTGGAGTGTGTGACGAGAAGAGAGCGAGCGTCACAGTAACCGATCTAACACTCAGCAACATCTACATGGCTGGATTAGTTTCTGTAGATCTACTGAAGAAAGTTGGACGCAAAGTACAAAAGAAAACATTCCGTTACAAAGCTTGTAATAATTATATATATTATTATTAAAATAATTGAAATTCTATTATTATATAATATTTAATATAATATTATAGATCGGGGATTATTGCTTTAATATTATTGTTTCACTTGAGCTGAAGTGTGAGGAGGCGTGTCACTTCCTTCTTTTTTTAAGAGTGAAACTTACAGTCTTATTAGAGTAATATTGTTAGAGTTAGATTATTTACAGTTTTGGGATGTCCTGATGTGGTTCTCCTGTGGCCTGTTTAGTGTTGTTTAGTCTCTGCTGAAAGCTGACAGAATGCTGAGCGCTCGCGGTGTGTTTTCTCTCTCAGTCTCCAGAAGCGGCTCGTCTGTCTGCAGAGGACATCAGCCCCAGCTCTAACGGACCCAAAGCCGAGCCCATGCTGCTGGACGACGACCCCGACGACCTCTTCGCTGGTCTGTGATTCTAGAATCGGGTTTGATTATAACGCGTTCTCAGAGTCTGTAGATGTTACAATCCGTCTCCGATCCAGTAATGAGCTATTTACATATTCAGAACGTGGAGCTTCAGGATTGGATAGTTTTGAGAATGCTCTGTTTCTATTGGCTCACAGCAGAACAGTGATGTCACATATACTGCTGTTCAGATGTTTGTGGTCAGTGCGATATATATATTTTTTAATGAAAGAAATGAATACTTTTATTTGTCATTGATGCATTAAACTGATCAAAGGTGACAGTAGGCATTTATAATGTTACAAAATGTTTCTCTTTCAAATAAATACTGTTCTTTTGAACTTTCTATTCATCTTTGAATCCTTAAAAAAAGATATGAAGCAGCACAACTGTTTTCCATATTGATAAATCTGTGTGTGTGTGTGTGTGTGTGTGTATATATATTTAGATATATATTAGTGCTGTCAAACGATTAATCACGATTAATCGCATCTATTTATATATACTTAATAAATATACACAGAACACATACATATGTGAATAAAAACTTATTTTGGATGCGATTAATCACAATTAATAATCTATCTATCTACTTTGTGTTTTTTATTTTTTACTCTTAGCCCTACTTTTAATTATATATTATATATTATATATATATATATTTAATTGATAATAATAATCAGAAATGTTTGTTGAGCAGCAGCATATTATACTGATTTCTGAAGATCACGTGACACTGAAGACTGGAGTAATGATGCTGAAAATACAGCTGCGCATCACAGAAATACATTACAGTTTAACACATATTCACATAGAAAACAGTTATTGTAAATTATAATAATATTTCACATTTTTACTGCATTTTTGATCAAATAAATGCAGCCTTGCTGAGCAGAAGAGCCTTCTTTCAGAAACATTAAAAATCTCACCGACCCCAACCTTTTGAACTGCATAGTAAATGGCATACTGCATTTAGTTAGTAATGAACTGAAGTGAGAGTTTTCTGAAGTGTATGCATGATTTTCTCAGCAGTGTTTGTGTAACTCTTTCAGAAGCGACGGAGGAAGTGTCTCTAGACAGTCCAGAGCGTCAGCCGATCCTGTCAGACGGCCCGTCTCCCGTCATCACGCCTGTGACACCTGTGATGATCAGCTCCAGAGCAGACGTGTTCGACCGCTCGCCGGACCAGGTGAAGCACGCTCTACTCTCATCTAGGCCTGTCAATAATCAATATATACACTTATCACACAATACATGCACAGGACCTCATTTTTGGTGGCGGAGTATATCGCACATTATATTTACTTAAAAATGAATGTCGGCATGTTTTGTACGTTCCACTTGCGCCTGTGTCTTCTGCAGCTTCTCGAACAGAACGCAGTGTATCATGAGCTGCTCGTTCACATTTAAAAAATGCTTCTACGAGCAAAGTTTCATCTGCAGATATGATCTTGTTTAGAGATCTGACGCACATCTGAGTGCTGAGTAGTGCTTGTGTTTCTCAGCAATAGTGTGCATCCTTCACTTACAGAGAAAAGAAGGGCAGGGACAAATCTTTGCACTTTTTGTTATAAAATGTTTATGTAGTATTTATTCAGGTTTTTTAAGGTATCTAATATTTTGATACTTAATTTGCATGATCTAAATATTCTTAAAAATTAAAAGCTTGTTGTCATTTGGAAGTGTGTAGGCCTTCTTGCGTTATTACGCTGTTAGATTATGATTATATATTTAGTGGCATAAAACGGTCTTTAAAATGAGAATAATATCGCTTATTGCAATTATTTCTGGAGCAATATATCGCACAACAAAAAGTTGTTATGGTGACCGGTCTACTAGTGATCTCGTTCTCAGAGATCATGCGGTTTGACTCACAGAACCACATTTGTGACCAGTGCTGGCGAAATGAGTCACAATGAGCACATTTTCAAAAATTCTCTATTGATTTTTCTATTCATTCTCTATTGAATGCCCTTCACAAAGATGCATGATTTGTTGGAATCGGAAAATGACTGAGCTACATCTGTTTGAAGTCAATTAAGAGAAAAACTGATTTTTCTGAAGATTTCAAAGCTTTTGTCTTTCTTTTCCGCCGCTATAATCATTACTGGATTAATAATCAAAATACAGCTGTTTTTTATTGCATCTTTGTTGTTATAAACAAGAACCGATGCAACAACAAAAAAAAGAACAAATATAAGAAAGAAAAAAGTATGCACTGCAAAAAATGATTCTCTTGCTTAGTGTTTTTGTCTTGTGTTCTAGTATAAATATCAACATTCTTGAATCAAGATGCCTCACTTCAGACAGAACAGATTATGTTTGCGTGAATACTTCAATATGTTTAGCCTGCTGTAAATCACATATGTTTCTCACGTTCACTGGACTCTTCCTCTCTAGGATGAAGATGAAGAGGAAAACAGGGACACGTTTGACATCCAGATCTCGGTTTCTGACCCTGAGAAAGTTGGTAAGGTGTTTGAGGACGAGCTGTGAATCCATAGAGCTTTTCAGATGTTATCAGGAGCAGGATTCGCTCTGAGCTGCAACACCGGAAATACATTACACTCTCTCTGTGTTTCTAGTTTTAATGTTTGTGACACCTCATACTCACTGCTAGAAAAACTCAACGTTAAACACGTCTACAGTCGCTCATTTAGGGAGCATTCGTCCTTTTTCTAAAAACAAACCAGTGTTTTTGGTGAGAAATCAGTTTCTGTGTTGACATGTTTTGCCTCAGAATATCTAATTGTATTTGTTTTATATATATGTATACACTGCCGGTCAAAAGTTTGGGATCAGTGAGACTTGTAATGTGTTTAAAGAAGTCTCTTCTGCTCATCAAGGCTGCATTTATTTGATCAAAAATACAGAAAAAAACAGTAATCTTGCAAAATGTTATTAGAATATAAAACAACGATTTCTGTTTTAATATCCTTTAAAATATAATTTATTTCTGTGATGCAGCGCTGAATTTCCATCATCATTACTCCAGTATAACGTGTCACATGATCTTCAGAAATCATTCTAATATGCTGATTTATTATTAGAATTATCAATGTTGCAACAGTTGTGTTTTTTGGAAACTGATACTTTTTTCAGGATTCTTTGATGAATAAAAAGTTAAAAAGAACAGCATTTATTCAAAATATAAATCTTTGCTATCACTTCTTATCAATTTAACACATCCTCGCTGAATAAAAGTTTTAATTTCTTTAAAAAAAAAAGAAAGAATATAAATGTACAGACCCCAAACTTTTGAACAGTAGTGTATATTGCTAGAAAAGATTTCTATTTTAAATAAACGCTCTTCTTTTGAACTTTTTATTCATCAAAGAATCCTGAAAAAAAGTATCACAGCTTCCAAACAAATATGAAGCAGCAACAGTTTCCAGCTCTGATAATAAATCAGCATATTAGAATGATTTCTGAAGATCATGTGACACTGAAGACTGGAGTTATGATGCTTTGCATCACAGGAATAAATTAGATTTTAATGTATATTAAAATAGAAAAACGTTATTTTACATCATAATAATATTTCACAATATACATCTTTTTCCTGTATCTTTGATGAAATAAATGCAGCTTTGATGAGCAGAAGAGACTCCTGTAAAAAACATTACAAATCCTTCTGATCCCAAACTTTTGAATAGTAGTGTGTATATATATATATAATTTTATATTTATTTACTTATTTATTTTATATGTGTCATGGGAATTGGTATTTATTTATTTACTCATATACTGTGTGTGTGTGTGTGTGTATATATATACAATTTTTATCAATATTAATGAATAAATTTTTATGTGTGTGTGTGTGTGTGTGTATATATATATATACATTTATTTATTTATTTATATATTTTTTTCATATTTATCTTTATTTATTTATTTGTTTGTTTTTTATTTATATATACTTTATTTTATATGATTTATTTATTTATATATTAAGATTTACCACAGTTTCTTGTGTATTTGTGCACACATGTCGATTCTGATTGTGATTAATTTCTTTGTTTTTCTAGGTGACGGCATGAATGCGTACATGGTCTATAAAGTGTTGACCAAAGTAAGAAAAGCTTTAGGTTCTGGTCTGAGATGTTGTGGATCTCCTGGAGGACGTGTGTGACTCTCTTTCTCTGTGTTTGCAGACCAGTCTGTCTATATTCAGCAGAGACGAGGTCTGCGTCAAGAGGCGCTTCAGTGATTTTCTGGGCTTGCACAGTAAATTAGCCTCCAAGTACATGCACATGGGCTACATCGTTCCTCCTGCGCCTGAGAAGAGCATTGTGGGTAAGTCCGTGCACGAATGATCAGAGACGTGATCTGATGGCGTCAGATCAATGATGAGCTTGTGGTGTGTATGTCTGTGTGTGTGTTTCAGGAATGACGAAGGTCAAAGTGGGGAAAGAGGATCTGTCATCAGTGGAGTTTGTAGAGAAGAGAAGATCTGCTTTGGAAAGGTATTAAGACTAATTAATTTAAGTGAGATGAGTCGATCTGCACTGTTTTATAAAAGTTCATGTGTGAATAAAATATTATTTGTAGCTCCACCCATTCAATAATCTTAATACTCTTTGTGCTTTGTTACTTTTGTTATGAAACAAAGTCTCAGCTTTCAAATTCTTTCAGTTTCATCACTAAATTCAAGCAATAAATGTGTTTTTGTGGCTCTTTAATGTGTGGCGACCAACACATTACACGAGTTACACTGCAAAAATGATTCTCTTACTTCGTGTTTGTGTCTTGTTTTCTAGTATAAATATCTAAACATTCTTGAATCAAGATGAATTTACTGTACGAGTAAAATGATTTAAGATATTAAAGTCTTGTTTTCTAAAAAAAATCATCAAAATTGTGTTAGTTTTTGCTTCAAACGAGCAAAAATATCTGCTAATGGGGCAAGAAAAATAATCTTAATTCAAAGGCTAAACAAGATTATTTTTATTGCCTCATTGGCAGATATTTTTGCTCGTTTTAAGCAAAAACTAACACATTTTTTAACATTTTTTTTACAGAAAACAAGACGTAATATCTTAAGTCATTTTACTTGTACAGTAAATTCATCCTGATTCAAGAATTTCTAGATATTTATACTAGAAAACAAGACAAAAACACTAAGCAAGAGAATAATTTTTTGCAGTGTATGAATCGAATCGATACCCAGGCCTAGTTGGCTCCCTGTGAATCTCTGTTTTCTGTTCGGCTGATGCGCTGGAAAGATCACTCGTGTTCTGCTCTTTTGTGGCTAAAAGGTTAAGCAAGAAATATTAGATAAATAATTTTGGAGGTTTGCTGCTGTCCTGCCGTTCTCTCCGCCGCTGATCGCTGCTGCGCTCCTGGTTTTGCACAAACTGATGAATCGAATAAAAATTACAGTTAAGTGAAGCGCTGACATTTCTGTGCCCTTTTTATCCGGCCGCAGACTGACGTGAAGGTCAGCGGCTCGGCTGTAGACTTCATCTGGTTCAGAACTGGATGCTGATGGGAGATGTGTGTTTGTGTTGCAGGTATCTGCTGAGGACCGTCAAACACCCAGCGCTGCTCAAAGACCCCGATGTCCTGCAGTTTCTGGAGAGTTCAGAGGTACCGTCGCCGTTTCTGTAAACCATAGACATCTTTTATATGGGCTCATCATTATCAGGATTTTACTCCCATCTGAATAAGCTACATCAGTAATTTTCCCCATTCTGTCTGTAGTTTACAGCATTTCGTACCTTTAATAAATTTGCATTAACAATAACTAGAGGTAACAGCTACTATTGACAATGTGGTAAAATTTCTACTGTTTCTTGTGGGTATAATTATGGAAGCTCATTTCCGCCACGGGATGAAAAAATTCAAAGAGGTAATTGCAATTTTCTTGCAATTTTGAGAAAGTTTCTCAGAATTGTGAGATATAAACCCTGTATTACCAGAAGTCAACTCTGAATTGAGAAATACATTCAGAACTGAGAGATTAAAACTCTCTGAATTTCAAGAAATAAACTTAAAATGGGAAGAAATAAACTCAGAATTAGAAAATATAAACTCAGAATTACAAGAAATAAACTGAATTAAGATATAAACTAAGAAATACTATAAATAAACTCAGAATTACAAGAATTAAACTCAGAATTGAGAAATAAACTCAGAATTACAAGAAATAATCTCTGAATTGATAAATAAACTCAGAATTAAGATATAAACTCAGAATTGATAAATAAACTCAGAATTACAAGAAATAAACTATGAATTGAGAAATAAACTCAGAATTGAGAAATAAACTCAGAAATACAAGAAATAAACTCAGAATTGATAAATAAACTGAATTGGGAAATAAACTCAGAAATACAAGAAATAAATTCAGAATTGATAAATAAAATCAGAATTACAAAAATAAACTCTGAATTGAGAAATAAACTCAGAATTGGGATATAAACTCAGAATTACAAGAAATAAACTCAGAATTGATATATAAACTAACAAAATACAAGAAATAAACTCAGAATTGAGAAATAAACTCAGAATTACAAGAAATAAACTCAGAATTGAGAAATAAACGGATAATTGAGATATAAACTCAAAATTACAAGAAATAAACTCAGAATTGAGAAATAAACTCTGAACTGGGAAATAAACTCAGAATTGAGACATAAACTCAGAAATACAATAAATAAACTTAGAATTACAAGAAATAAACTCTGAATTGAGAAATAAACTCAGAATTGCAAGAAATAAACTCCGAATTGAGAAATAAACTCAGAATTACAAAAATAAACTCTGAATTGAGAAATAAACTCAGAATTGAGTTATAAACTCAGAATTACAAGAAATAAACTCAGAATTAAGATATAAACTCAGAATTGAGAAATAAACTCAGAATTGGGATATAAACTCAGAATTGAGATATAAACGCAGAATTACAAGAACTAAACTCAGAATTAAGATATAAACTCAGAACTGAGAAATAAACTGAATTGGGAAATAAACTCAGAATTGACAAATAAACTCAGAATTTAGAAATAAACTCAGAATTGACAAATAAACTCAGAATTTAGAAATAAACTCAGAATTGACAAATAAACTCAGAATTTAGAAATAAACTCAGAATTGACAAATAAACTCAGAATTTAGAAATAAACTCAGAATTGAGATATAAACGCAGAATTACAAGAACTAAACTCAGAATTAAGATATAAACTCAGAACTGAGAAATAAACTGAATTGGGAAATAAACTCAGAATTGAGATATAAACTCAGAAATAAAAAAATAAACTCAGAATTGAGAAATAAACTCAGAATTGAGAAATAAACTCAGAATTACAAGAAATAAACTCAGAATTGACAAATAAACTCAGAATTTAGAAATAAACTCAGAATTGAGATATAAAGTCTGAATTGAGATATAAACTCAGAATTGAGAAGTAAACTCAGAATTGGGATATAAACTCAGAATTGAGATATAAACTCAGAATTACAAGAACTAAACTCAGAATTAAGATATAAACTCAGAACTGAGAAATAAACTGAATTGGAAATAAACTCAGAATTGAGATATAAACTCAGAATTACAAGAACTAAACTCAGAATTAAGATATAAACTCAGAACTGAGAAATAAACTGAATTGGAAATAAACTCAGAATTGAGATATAAACTCAGAATTACAAGAACTAAACTCAGAATTAAGATATAAACTCAGAACTGAGAAATAAACTGAATTGGAAATAAACTCAGAATTGAGATATAAACTCAGAAATACAAGAAATAAACTTAGAATTGACAAATAAACTCAGAATTTAGAAATAAACTCAGAATTGAGATATAAAATCTGAATTGAGATATAAAGCCTGAATTGAGATATAAACTCAGAATTGAGAAATAAACTCAGAATTACAAGAACTAAACTCAGAATTAAGATATAAACTCAGAATTGAGAAATAAACTGAATTGGAAATAAACTCAGAATTGAGATTTAAACTCAGAAATACAAGAAATAAACTCAGAATTGACAAATAAACTCAGAATTTAGAAATAAACTCAGAATTGAGATATAAAGTCTGAATTGAGAAATAAAGTCTGAATTGAGAAATAAACTCAGATTTGACATATAAACTCAGAATTACAAGAAATAAACTCAGAATTGAGATATAAACTCAGAATTGCAAGAAATAATCTTAGAATTACCAGATATGAACTTAACATTTTGAGAAAAAAAGTCTTAAAAAATGTTTAAAAAGTTGCAATTCCTTTTTTTTGTTTTTGTATTGTGCTTCAGAAACAAAAAGTCAGAATTCTCAAGAAATAAACTCTGAACTGCCAGAATTGTGAGGTATGAATTGTGAGGTATAAGCTTGCAATTGCAAGGGAAAAAAAGTCACAGTTAGCATTTTTTGTTTTATTCCTCGGCGGAAACCAGTTTTCATCTAAATGTGGTTTCCTGGTGCTTCTCTTGAATGTATAATGAAAAAACACTGCATGTAGATGTTTCAGAATCAATTAACTTGACATCAGATTATACATGAAGCGGAACAATCGTGTTTTCTGTGCATTATATTACGTACAGCGCTCATAAAGTCAGCTGTGTTAATAACATCACACTGTAGATCATTTCCTGAATAACACACTGAACAGATACAATGAATCTCTGCTCCTCCAGTCTGATTTTCTCTTTATAGGCCCAGAAGTGGCTTTGGCGTGAGTGCCGAGAGTGTCTGTATTAAGTATGTATAATGGAAGACTGCAGCAATTGTAAAGGGCTAAACGCTCGGGCCGATTGAAAGCTATTTTTGCCCGCGGGCCCTCTGAGAGTTTTCCAGGGTGAAATGTATTAAATTGGACCGGCATTGAAATGTATGGGACTGGAGAAAATCCCAGTGCGCTGCGGGAGGAGAAACGCTCCCCGCGGGACGGGTCTGAGCCGCGGCCTGTTAACCGGTTTGTTTGCCCTTATTTGTCATTTTATTCCAGCTGCCGCGAGCGGTTAGCACACAGGCGCTGAGTGGGGCCGGAATATTGAGGATGGTAAACAAAGCGGCCGACGCTGTCAACAAAATGACAATCAAGATGAATGAATCGGATGCGGTAAGGCTCTGATTTTTGGACTTGAATAATGAGACGATTTAATGAGCTGCTCTCTGGCTCCAGTCCTAAGGTGTGTGTGTGTGTGAGTGTGTGTGTGTGAGTGTGAGTGTGAGTG